CCATGGCAGGGGCTTGGAACAAGATGACCTTTAAGGTCCCTTCCAACCCAAACCATTCTGTGACTCCATGATTTTATGAACCTTCCCCATTTTCAGCAGGGACAGCCCCAAAAGATTAAGAGAAAGAAAGCAGATGCAAAAATTAGGAAAAATCTCCCTTTACCCCTTCAGACTTTTATAAGAGATGGCATTAAAAAGTGTACAAGCTCATGGCTTGGCAGGAGAGTGATCCAGTAGCATATAAACAGAACCAGCTGTCCTGGCTAAAATTTTTATTCAACAAATGAGGAAGATTTCCATTTTCATGGCAGAAAAAGGGAGCAGGAAGCATTTATAGGTGAGAATAATCACAATCAACTCAGAACTATAAAATCCCCCTTGGAAGCAAGTCCTGAAGTGCCCAAGAAGAATTTAAATCACCCCAAAGGCTGAAATTCTGTAAAAAGAATAAGGACAGCAAAGAGGGACAAAGCACAGAGTGTTTATTACTTCTGCAGTGTTACTCCATAAAATTCAATGGTGCTTTAAAATCCTGGTACAAAGTTGACTTCTTGTTTCATTAAAAATAGTCATTCCCCCAAGACATGAAAGGTATTGCTGAGATTGGCCCCAACCTGGGATTTTTTGGAATCTAAACAACAAAATCATAACATGGCCAACTCCTGACAGCTTGGAACAGCCTGGCCAGGGAAGGGTGAAGTCACAGTTCCTGGGAGTGTTCAAGGCACTTCCCAAGGTTTAGTGGCCTTGGTGGAATTCAGTCAAAGCTTGGACTTTTCCAACTTTAATGATTGTATGACTCCATAATTCTATGATCTTCAGCACCCCAAAAGGGACAAGAACATTTTGGGTGCACAGTTAGGTCTCCAAACACAACGGGGAACCTGAAGAATAACCCAGAGAGCTGCAGCAAGCCAGGAAAGGAGGGAAAGAGGAGCTGTGATAGGATTTATGAAATCTGCAGGATGTTCAGCACACCATGCCCAGCAAAGAGGATTGACTTCATCATCTGGTGAGCATGTGGAATGTAGATGCCTGTTCCTTGCTCAGCCACAAACAACACCACTGACTTATTTTCTGTGTTCCAAGTCAGAGGTTCTTGAGTTTCCTCAAGAGACTTTATGCTACAGAAAGAATCATGGGCATTCTTCCCCACTTTCTAACCCTAAGAAGTTATTTACCTAAAGTGAATTAGCTTTGCCAAATCTCAGCAGTACACTCAGCAGCCTTCTCCTGAAAATCTCTAACCACTTTTTTGGGGAGCAACCATAAAAAATAAACTGAATGAAACTGATTTTGTCAGACAAAAAATAATATGGGTAGTGAATGGAGCAACAACAGTAGAGTATCTTATGGGCATTTCTTCAACCTGAAAGCACTTTAACAGGCATTATAGATTCATTGATTCATAGATTTTAAAAGCCAGAGAGAGCAATTTTGATTATCCAACCTGATTTCCTCCCATAAAATTTTGTCCCACCACTCCCACATCAAGACCGGGGACTGCAACTGGACTAAAGTATCTTATAAAAAAGACATTTGAATCTTGATTTAAAGGTTTGTGGCAAAGCCAAATCCATCAAACCCCCTCCATAAGCAGGTCTAATGGCTGGTTACCCTCATACAGAAGGATTGAATTTGTCTAGCTTTAACTCTTATCTCCTCATCTCCTCCTATGTGAGAACAATAAATTAGGGAGCACCTTGCTCTCTACTTGATGTTTTCTTCCTAGAGGTACTTGCACACCATGATTGAGTCCTCTTGGATGTCTCAAACAGAAATTTGGATGGCACAAATTTTAAACTCTGATTTCCAGTCATCAAACAGGTTTGGCTTTTCTTTGCACCCTCTCCACTTTTGCAAAATAGTTTTAAGTGCAAGCATTGTCATTATCTGCTTCACAGAGCACTCCATTCAGGCAGCTCTTTAGAGGAAACACATCATCCCCATCTCAAAAAGAGAAATAACAATAACAGTGGGTGTCAAACACGAATCGAATCGAAGGGGTTAAGACAATTCTAACAAAGGATGAAAACAGAAATTGGGTTGTGGTATTTCGGAAGTGAAGTGACATTCACCTTTAGGTTTTCTCAGGATAAAACTCCACTGTGAAAGGAGTTGTGATTAAAGCACAGGGGCACATCAAGTCAGACCTAATCTGGCCAGGCTGGTCAAGAACAGCACACACAGACTCAGGAGAAGGTTGAACAACTTCAGTCTGAGCCCTCAGATTGGAAGCAGAAGTGCTACTACCACCCATCACTGGCATTGTCAAACTAAAACTATTGGTGCTGGAGCAGCCAAAATCGATGCTAATGCAGGTATTTCTGTGTGTCATGGTGTTCTTGTTCACCCAGCTGTAAGCTGAGTATCACAGCTGGGAGGTTCAAGCTCCCACAGTGGCCATAATCCCTTTTTTTTAACATGGGATGTGTGACACCAGTGCAAGGGTCACCAATCCCTGGTAGTCCTAGAAAAATTGGTGCTTGAATTTTCCTGGCAGATGGAGCATGCACAACTCATCAAAAGTAGAGACAAATACATTTTAGAAGTTTTTAATTCCCATCCCTGTTCTAAGAAGGATCCCTTGCTACAAACGACCAGGGCTCCACCCCTAGGACACACTAGGGAAGAATTACACAAATAAAATCCCTTCCCTAGACCTAGGCCAGGCCTCTGTGTTGCCCAAGACACAGAAAGAACAGACACAGAAGCTGTCCAGATTATTCCAAAGCAATTTCAAGGTCTATTGTAAAATCAGTACTGATAATTTTAGATCCCTGTCTTACTCTGGCGTACAATGGCATTACCTTCCACTCAGAAATTTTAATTTATATCTGTCTTCAAGATAAATTCCTCCAGCCTAACCCAACAAAACTGATGAGCCAGAGCTAGTTTCAAAGGAGGAAGGACTCTGCATCTCTAGGGGCTGGGGTGATCTGAGCAGCAATAGCACCCCTGCCCAACCTACAGAGTGAAGAACAGCAAAATGTTGGTGTTTTTCTAAGGGAGGTAGAGGTTCTGCAAGCTCACGTGACAGGCTCTGAACACACCAGTGCTGCAACATATTTGAAAACGAGCCTGGCTTGTTCCACCTTTCTGAGCTCTAGCTCTCTATTGTAACAGATGACACAATTAAAAATAGAAAAAGGATGTGGTCTCAGCAAGGATTGGAATGTGTCTGTGCCTGTTGGATGGAACATATGGTGGAATATTTTTACATCTTATGAGGAGCTGTGGATTGGACATGTGCTGCTGCTCGTGAGATGCAGCAGCAGAAAAGCTGCATTAATATTTGCTCCCTGACAAGAGGAGCTGCCAGGAGCCATGGCCATGAGCAGGAATCATCAGCAGGACAGCACAGAACACACCAGGAAACCTTTCATTTTACGCACCATTGGAGTTAATTCGGAAGACATTGGCTGAAGTCTCCTGAAAAAGTTCCTGCAGCTCGCTGGGATCAATCTGGGTGGCTGTAAAGACAAAAACAGAAGGAAAAAAAAAGTATTAATGTTGGACACCACCAATCACTTTGAAAGGGTGCTTTGAAAGAGGATGTAGATTCCTCCTTGCTGCAGAAATTTAGCCCAGGCAGGGTGGTCTGATGCAGATTTACACAATGCCTGGTTGTGGAACTTGCACTGAACAGACAAATCCAGCACCACCAGGACAGTGAAAATGCTGCTGCAACACAGTGGATACAACCCACATGGACTGAGATGGCATTTGTAGGGATTATCAGCAACGAGAATACAAATAATTCCACCTCATCAAATAATTCCACCTCATTTACCAAGTGGGAGCATCAGAACCACGACTGAATGAGAAACCACAATGCCAAGTGATGGTCACCCAGCACTTTTCAGAGCAGGGAGGACCCATAGCAGGTCCTCCCTGCAGAAAAATCAGTGAGCAGAGGACATCTGCTCCGTGGGGTCAAAGCTTTTGGGGCAGGAGGGAGGTGGGAGCTCAGTGGGATCTCCACACATTCCTCTCCTAACCCCCAAGAGAGGTTTCTCTTCTTCCTATTCCTCCCTGATAGCTCAAATGCATGGGGAAATGAGTCAGTGCCAGGAATTTCTGTGCTGGTGCACAGAAAAATTCTCACAACTTCATTCCCAAAGTCCCCACTTTAGCCAAGATACTCAAATCTTCCCTACAAGAAGAACACTGAAGAGAGGGTTTGAACATTTTGCAGTTTCAGATTTCGTGGAAGGTTGGGTGGGGTTTTTCTGGTTGTTTTGGGGGTTTTTTAAAAATTTTGTTGTTGTTGTTTTGGGTTTGTTTGTTTGTTTTAGTGTTGTTGTTTGTTTCTGTATGTATGTATGTATGATGTTTTGTTTGTTTATTGTTTTTGTTTGTTTGGGTTTGGTTTTTTAGCTTCATTTCCCAACTTTAAAATCCCTGAAACTGTCCCCAGCTTCTCCACAGTTTCATCATCCCCAGAGAAGGAGTCATGTGTTCGTGGACTGAGCTATACTAGAGAATCACAGAATATTTTGGGTTGGAACAGACCTTAAATATCATCCAGTTCCAATCCCCTGCCATGGGCAGGGACATCTTCCACTGTCCCAACTTGCTCCAAGCCCCATCCAACCTGGCCTTGGACACTTCCAGGGATGAAGCATCCACAGCTTCTCTGGGCAACCTGTGCCAGGGCCTCAGCACCCTCACAGGGAAGAGTTTCTTCCTAATATCCAATCTAAATCTACCTTCCTTCAGCTTAACACCATTAATTATGGCTGTATTAAGTCCATCTCACAGAGTGAGGATACATCACGTAAATCAGCTTTAACCAGGCATTTCAATTTTGATTGATCCCAGTCACCAGAGAAACACCCATTTGTAACAATACCTTTGTCACCAGTTTTATGGCAGCAGCTTTCCAGCGGATTTTTTGTTCTGCCTCCCACCTGTGTCACCTTTTGTGGGTTTCCCAGGAGCTGCTTTACCTGAATCTTTGGTCACATCCTGCAGCACCCCAGGGCTTGTCCACCCAACAGAGTCCAACAGCCCCTATCACCCAGTTGAGGTGAAGCATCTCAGACTCAAACAGGAGTTGACATTCATTTCTTCAAGTCAGCAGACTGGAACTCTGACCTGCTCTGCATCCCTTCGCCAAATTTCCCTACGCTGCTAAAGCACCACACACCCAACCTGCACTTGGCAGAGCAGAAAGACAACGATGGAACAAGGCAAAAATTAGGAAAATTGGGCAAAACGAGAAGCCTGCGGGATGCACTGCTCAGGATAGGGCTGAGGATGCATCTCCCAGTGCTGGAGGAGCAGCTGCACAGGCAGAGAGCAAAATTTCCACTGCACATCCAGAGAGCAGATTTTCCACTGCTACTCACACTCCCTGAGACGGTTCAGCACTATAAAAGCTGTAAATAAACTCATGGATCAGCCTGTCAGGATGACACAAATCTGGGGTATTAAATGCTGTTTAATCCAAATGCACAGGGCCTCATTGCTAGAGATTTTCCCACTCTTCTCTTCCTGCAGTTTCCCCTCAATCACTGTCCCAGACATTCCTTTCCTTTGTTCTATAGAGGAGGCTGCAGAAGAGCAGAAATTAGCGTGGGCTCCTCTGTCCCCCAGGAATTTCACTTGTTGCTAACGAAGTCCAGCTCTCATTAAATCACTGGCAAAAGAGCAGCACAGGAAAAGATTTTTAGATCTTTACAGACTCTGATTACTCCCATTTTAGGAGATTTTCTTTCTATTGGATTCTTAGATTTTCAGGGTGCTAACATGTTCCAGAGAAAACTCGTCTGCACATTTTGGGATAGAACTCAAGTTGGATGGGTGAGGATTTTTTTTAACTTCTTTATTTTATTCTATCCTTGGAAACACTAAATTTGCCTCAACAGATTTTTATCCTGGCCCAGTAATCCTGAATCGACATGCACTGAGGTACTGAACAAAGCCTCAGATGAACCATGAAGAAACCAAACCAAGGGTTGGAAGCTCCCTCAAGAGCTCAGATGGAATCACCCAGCTGGGAACAGCACTGCTTTAAATCCCCAAATAATCCAGACTGGAATCACCCAGCTGGGAACAGCACTGCTTTAAATCCCCAAATAATCCAGACTGGAATCACCCAGCTGGGAACAGCACTGCTTTAAATCCCCAAATAATCCAGACTGCAGCCTCTGGTGTGCTCCCACATGGGGACACTCCTGCACAGCCTCCAGCAGGTACCTCTGAGCAGTCATTTCACATGCCAAAGTCACACCAAAAGTCAAGATTAAATATCTCAAACATTGCAAAAGACAGGAGAAGTGCCAATTTCGCTGAGAAGGAAATACAGAGCAACACTGACAGTCCAGAGTTGTTCCATGAAGTTAAAAACCAAAAATTCAGGTGCTAATTTGGAAGGGTGAGATTTATTTATATTTGTTGGTGGGAGACCAGTTTTCTCACCCTGTACCACAATTCCCTAATGGGAAAGAGACATTGCATGTGGATCATACTCTGAAATAATGGAAATAATTTGGTTTTTAAGCCTCCACATATTCCTGGAAGTCAAAATTATATAAATGGAAGACGACTGTGAGGTTATAAACTCCTCCTCAAAGGCCTCTCAGTCCAAACCTATAATAGCACCAACAACCACCATCACACCTAAAAAAAAAAGCAAATTAAATCTAAAAAAAACCCCAACCAACAACACAAATTAAACTTCTGTCCAAAATTTCCAAAAAATTACTTTGAAAATGCAATTCAACAAGAAGAATGTTTTTTTTTCTGAGAAAATTGCACTGTATCTGGCTTGCAGTTTCCTGCCCCTAGACTTTTTATTTCACACCACAGTATGCTGCCAGTTCTGGCTTTTATTTTGTTCTTATTTTGCAAAAGAAAAGAAAATAGTAACAAGGAGGCTGTTTTAACTACTCCAATTTCAAGCTTCAACACATCAAGCCGAGATGTTGTAACTATTCATGGAGGATGCAGCAGTTCAAGCAGACAAGCAGAACAATTTAAAAACAGCAGCAGAAAGCAAAGCAAAACTGCCTCTGTACTACCATGCCAAGGAAGAAAAACCAAGACTGAGAAGTAAAGTGGATGTGAAATCTGATAAAAAATTAAACAACTTTGATTGCATCAAGTGAATACTTAAATATTATGATTCCCCAAGAAGGATTAGAAGGTTTCTGATATGCATTAAATGATGTTCTGCATTAAATACATGCCCTGACACTAACAGAATTCAGGGCCACAGCTGGGAAAAAAATACTTTTATTTACACTGTGGGTCTTCAAGACTGTGAACGTTTTGCAGTACATGTGTTACAGAATCCCACATGCAAATGGTTTCTCCTTTATTTCCTTAACTGGACATTTCCAAAAAGCATTTCCATTTATTTTCCCTATTTATTTTTCCAGGAAAATCCCCTTGGACCCCAGGACAACCCAATTTCCTCTGCTAGCAGTTCAACCTCCTCCCTGCCTAGCATATAGTGGTTTCCTGCTATATTTATTGCTGTTATACTTATTTTTATTCAGAGAAATCATCAAATGTTTTGGGTTGGAAGGGACCTTAAATATCATCTGTTCCGGCCACCATGGGCAGGATCACCTTCCACCAGACCAGGTCTCTCAAACCCCCATCAACCATCTCCCAAAGCAGCAGCAGTTAATGGCATTTCTGATATTTGCCTATTTAATTCTTCTTTCTCTTGCCTGAAAAGCCTCACAGGCACCCAGGTAGGTGCAACAGATGGAAAAAAAGAGTTTTTCAACAGCTTCTCTGCCAAAGCAAAGTGCACTCTGCAGGGGGAGACCCAACTGTGAGTGGGACCTTGAGGAACCTTGTGACTTGGGTGTGGAGTTGTATCCACAAATTCCTTCCTCTGGGCAAAAATCTGTGAGGCTGCAGCAAGTTTAAATCCAGCCATGCATCAACTCACACCCATCTGCTGTGCAGGAGTGGCAGCTCAGACCTCTGTGTTAGCTGTCACACTCTGGATCAATGCAAAAAAGGAGAAAGAATTTAAAAAAAGAAGAAAAAAAGGAAAGAAAAAGGAAACTGAATCATGGAATCACTTAGGTTGGAAAAAACCTTTGAATTCAACCATTAACCAAGCACTGCCAAATCCACCACTAAACTGTGTGCCTTGAGTGCCACATCCACACATCTTTCAAATGTCCCCAGGGATGGTGACTCAGCCACTTCCCCTGACACCCTGTTCCCATGACTGATGACCCTTTCATTGAAGGAATTGTTCCTAATACCCAACACAAACCTCACCTGATGAATCTTGAGGCCATTTCCTCTTTTCCTCCCATTTCCTACTTGGGAGAAGTGACAGACCCCAGCCTGGCTGCAATCTCCCTTCAAGGAATTGTAAAGAGTGGTTGAGGAGCTTAAAAATCCATATTTTTGTAACCACTATCTCAGAGAACACTCAGAGTCCATCAGTGTCCATGATTCAGAGTAATTATAATCTTTAATTCATCATAATTCTGTC